AATTCCAATTAAAATTCTACTTTAAATTCTACATAAACAATCACATCGAATTCACAAATGTGGAATATCGTGGCATCGGCTATAAATATTTTCATAGAAAAGAAAAAAAAACTATTTCATTCTTTCCATCGACTAAGATCACAGTAAAACGATATTTATAACCCGAACGTACATGGATCCCAGATATCCTCGTTCTATTAGGTATCCTTCGAAGAATCGCAGTCGTACGCGACGGATTCTGCTCCAAGAAAACACAAAGATTCTTGGATATATCCTTCTCGGAGCTCCTCGAATGGATCTCTTTCAAGGGAATCTAGAAGTATTTGGAGAAATCCTCACCGAGGAATTCAGGTGTCCTTGGAGGAACTTTTTTCCCAGCAATCCGGAGCTCCTAGGTAGCGTCCCAGCCTTCGGGGAACTCAAAGAGCGGTCCCTCCCACGTGGATCCGGAGGTCCTTAGAGAGATTTCCACAAGATATTACCAAAGTTGCCGGAATTGGTCAAAGTAGCAGAAGGAAGGGGCTAAATATGGCCGGAGGGTGCGGCTAGTGGCCGACGCGGTCAGGTGATGCCGTCGCGCTAGCTGAAACTCGATCCGCCCCCCCCCCCCGGAGTCTTCTTCTATCCTGGAGGCTCATGGGACACGATTTTCGGCAACGTTGCCACGCTACGAAATTCTATCGCGCTCGACCTGTTCGACGACGCTGTTTTGTTTTGATTTGTTTGCCGACGAGCGCGCGAAGCCCCGTACCGCTGATTGGCTCGATTGCCTTGCGCCGCTAGGCGAGCTCGCCCCTCATTGGTCACCGTTTTTCGTTAATAACTCGCGAACGAAGCCTCGTAGAATATTTTCGCTAAGGAAAAAGTTGCTTCAAATGATTTCATGAACCCCTCAGTTCCCGTAAATACAATAATTATAGGACATCCTGTATATAGGGATAGTATAAAATATAGTATAAGAGCATAATATGATATGTATATATAGTTAATATAATAATAATATATATAGTCAGTATAATAATAATATATATAGTTAATACAATATAATATATATAGTTAACATAATAATAATATATATAGTCAGTATAACAATAATGTATATAGTTAATATAATATAATATAATATATATAGTTAATATAAAAATTTTCTCCGAGGCACCATTAACGAGTTATTAACGAAAAACGGTGACCAATAAGAATCGAGTACGGCTGACGCGAGGCGGCCGAGCCAACCAGCGCGCGAAGCCCAGTTCCGCTCATTGGCTCGGTCGCCTCGCGCCAGCCGAGCTCGCCTCTCATGGGTCACTGTTTTTCGTTAATAGCTCGTTAACGGTGCCTCGGAGAAAATTTTTGTAAAGGACAAAGTTGCTTTAAATGGCCTGAGGAACTCGCAACTTTCGGATTGCGAGACACTTTTGGGACACATCAGACTCTGCCGTTCAGAGAAATAACCTCGAGCAGAATTCAGCCGTGCCTAAAAGGTTAAGGAGATCCTTCCGAGGAGCTTCGAGAAAGATATATACAAGAATCTTTGTGTTTTCTTGGAGCGGAATCCTTCGCGTGCGACTGAGATTCTTTGAAGAATACCTAATGCAACGAGGATATCTTGGATCCATGTACGTTCGGGTTATAAAAATCGTTTTACCGTAATCTTAGTCGATGGAAAGAATGAAATAGTTTTTTTTCTTTTTTATGGAGATATTTGTAGCTGATGCCACGATATTCTACATTTGTGAATTCGATGCGATTGTTTATGTAGAATTTAAAGTAGAATTTTAATTGGAATTTTTGTATTTGTTTTTCAGCCGAGTATAAATATAAGACTGAAAAAGTAATGCGAATTCTTATTAATTACGTTCGATTTTGTGGGAATGATATTTGGAAGGGAAAATGATTATGCATAGTTTGACCACTTGTGCGAGCAAACTGATTAAAAGAAATAATATGTTGAACGTTTTCTTTGCTACGAAACGATGTACAGTGGGCCACAAAATTATTCGCTCGCCTTTTAAAACGCGATAACTTTTTTGAGAACTGAACTAAATGATTTGTATTCTTTTTTTTAGATGACAGAAGGGGACTAGCCTATGAGACGATGACTGAAATGCATATTTCTTTTAAATCTTGCTATTACTTGAATTCGTAAAAGAAGAATAAAAATCTTTCGTTTTTTAACTTTTTTTCATCCGAGCCTGTAACGAAAATTTAAAAAATGTCACTCGTAGAGCTCGATGACTTTATTTGTGCGCGTTGAAAATTTTATCGAAATCGGTTCGCGTTGCTACACGAGCTACAATAAATTGAAGATCGCAAAAATCGTAGTTTTTAATCACGATTTTCACCAAAAAAAACTGTAAGAAATCTGCAGTTTTTCAAATCCTTCGACGCCTGTATCTCGGCTCTGGTTTAACCGATTTCGATTTCTGCGAAAGGCATTTTATTAAATTATCGTTATAGGCTCAGATAAAAAAAGTTAAAAAACGAGGATTTTTAATTTTTTCTTTTCGTTCCAAGTAATGGCAAAATTTAAGAAAACAGCTTCTTAGACATCGTCTAATAGACTAGACCCTCTGTCATCTAAAAAAAAAATGCAAATCATTTAGTTCAGTCCTTTAAAAAGTGGTTGCGTTTTAAATGGTGAGCGAATAATTTTGTGACCCACTTTACAGTGTTGGGAATAATTATAGACTCAAAGTAAGTTCTACATTTTCTGTGGTGTTTAAACAAAAGACTTAATAAAACATCAAATTTGTATATCTGTATATTAGATATAATAGAAAATTAAAAGATAATGATAATAGAAAATAATAGAAAATATAATAGAAAATAGAAAATGATAGATAATAGAAAATTAGAGATAACAGAAAATAAGAATATACAAATATAGTTTCTTCTTCTTCTATTTTTATTTGGACACGAGTAAAAATGTAAAAAGATTACTTTGAATTTATAATTATTATTCACAGCACGGATGACCTCCTTTTTAGCTGGAACACCCTTTATATTCAACCCTTTGCAATCGAGTGGCGACTCCGAGGCGTCATTAAAAATTGTTCTGTCACGTCCCAAAATAATTTTATTAACCGTATCTGTTTCTATTCAAAGAGCTATTAAAAGCGTAAACTGTTGCATGGGTCGCAATATTCAATTTCATGTACAGAAAATGCAACAGGTCGTATAAAATGGAAAAACCGTGCGTCGGAAAAACTATTTTAATTCGGCTTCGAGCATAAAGGGTTAAAAAAGAACTCAACAAGACATCGTACTTGTACAATTCTATTTTCTATTATTTCTAATATAGAAATATACAAATATGATAATTTTGTTATGTTTTCGTTTAGATACCGTTAACAATGTAAAAGCTTCTTCAAGTCTATAATTATGCTGTAATTATGAAACGTATAATAATGCACTAATCGAAGTCAAATCGAAACGATCGTATTTCTCGATTCAGCAACGTCTAACAAAACCGGCATTTAATTTCAAGTCGAATACAAAGCTTAAATCATTATTTTCGAAATTATTATTTACAAAGTGAACATTAAAAATGATCGAGTTGCTTTTACACCCAGCACAATTATTAAAAAACTCGCCGATCTCTTAGTTAATGTTTTGAAGAGATAAAGAAATAAAAAATTAAAAAATAATCAAGATCAGAGAGGATTGCGAGACGATAAAAGGTCACGCGGTCAATAGATCGGTGAAACAGCTGCAAAATACGACGTAAAAATTCTTACTTGATGCGTGTCACACAAGCTAGGTTACCAAAGAATAAGAAATTGTATTAAAACAAAATTCTATGAATTACGAAACCATGTTTCACATCCACTATGCGCGAACAAGAAACTTTCTACTGTTTGTGAATTGAACGACGTAAATATCCCTTCGACGAGCAAGGTTAAAAGTTGATCGACGATGCTGAAACGGCCCGCACGGATGAACGTATTTGCGTGCTAGAGAGGTTAAGCGATTAAAGATGGCGCGCGCGACGCGCGATCGCCGCTTCGACTCCGCCTGTAATTTCTGTGTGAGCGTTAAGTAAACTGGCATTTAATTTCAAGTCAAACTCAAAGCTTAAATCATTATTTTCGAAATTATTATTTACAAAGTGAACATTGAAAATGATCGACTTGCTTTTACACCCAGCACAATTATTTGAAAACTTGCCGGTTTCTTAGTTAATGTTTTGAAGAGATAAATAAATAAAAAATAAAAAAATAATCAAGATCAGTGCGGATTGCGAGACGATAAAAGGTCACGCGGTCAATAGATCGATAAAACAACTGCAAAATACGACGTAAAAATTCTTACTTGAAGCGTGTCGCACAAGCTAGGTTACCAAAGAATAAGAAAATTGTATTAAAACAAAATTCTATGAATTACGAAACCATGTTTCACATCCTCTACGCGCGAACAAAAAACTTTCTACCGTTTATGAATCGAACGACGTGAATATGCTTTCGACGAGCAAGGTTAAAAGTTGATCGACGGTGCTGAAACGGCCCGCACGGATGAACGTATTTGCGTGCTAAAGAGGTTAAGCGATTAAAGGTGGCGCGCGCGACGCGCGATCGCCGCTTCGACTCCGCCTGTAATTTCTGTCAGCGTTGAGGGGAGAATCGTTTGCTTCTAGCCGTTTAAGCGGCAACGGGCCGCCGCGCCGCGAGGAAAAAGGAAGTTGGCCGGCCTGCTAAAAATTCAAAACGCGGGCAAATTTCCCTGGGAATAAATTTCCAAGTTTCTCGCGCCGCGAACAGCCAAGTAAATACAGGCACGGCGGGCTGGCTCACTCGACGAGCCCGGAACGAACTAAGGCAAAGTTTGACGCATTGTCGGCGAATAAACCGAAACGATTGTTACGCAACGTTTGCCGGAAGAAAGGGAAAAGAGAGAACTTTGCCCGCCGAGCGCGGGACGCGCGTTTCACGCGCATTTTGCATGAGCGAAGCTGCAAGACCGTCACGATTGCCCTCTCCCCCCCACTCCCCTTTCTTTTTCAGCCAATCACGTTCCGGGACTACGGCGGCGGACTATGAATAATAGTCAATCGAATACACCGATCAGGTAAATTAGAATCTAATCTACATATAATCTACAGGGTGGTCCGTTCATACGAGGTCAACGTATGTACTTTTTCGAGTTGTTTTTTAACGCGACGGTATTCTGGGTGAATAAATAAAGTATACGATCGGGTATATATATATATATGTATAGTAAATGTTACGGTACATTTTATCGCGTTTGCAAAAAGTCCTTTGCGTTCTTCCTCAAACGATGATTTATAAATATAAAGCCTGCGCGGATATTTGCAGCTTTCGATTCGGCTGGAAAACTATTTTCAAATCCGAGTAAATAATTCCATCGGCCGTACAGTCGGTGAAAAAAGGTATCCGGCGTACACCTTTTAAAACGAAATAACTTTTTTTATTATTGAACCGAGCGACCTACATTTATTTTTTTATTTTTTTATTTTTTTTTTTTTGGTATGTTAGAGGAATTAGTTTATCTAGACAATGAGTGGAAAATTGTTTATGAAATATTGCAAATTTGTTGGAACGATCGAAACGTTAACGAATGATCTCGATGGAATTTTCAGCACGCGTGTAAAATTCTGGAGATCCGCGAAACACGATTTTTAAATTTTTCTTCGCTGGCTTGCGTGAACATTTTTCAATATTTTTATCGTCTTTGAAAATAATTTCTCAGCCATCGTCTGACGAATCAATTCCTCCAATATTCCAAAAAATTCTAAAATAAAATGTAAAATAAAATAAAAAAAATAAAATCTAAAATAAAATTCTGAACTGTGTTTATTTACTTCTCGCAATACTTACGGTATAAACAATTTTAATCTATGTCTGCGACGCTGAATATAAACTGAATAATATAATAATATTAATTATTAATATTAATTATTATTATTATAATTATTATTATAAACTATAATAAAATAACAAATGTATTAATAATCGCTAAGATGTTTGGCAACCCTTTGCTTCTATCAATTCTAATAAACGATTAGGCATGCTATTTCGTTCCATTCAGTTTTTAAAGCTCTTGCAAAATTGAAATTTTGTGGCTCTTTTTGTGACCGTTTTTTTTTGTGACATTTGCAGGTCTAATTAGCCATTGTCTAGCGAACTAATTCCTCCAAAAAAATCTAGATCGCCGACCATAGAAAAAGTTATTCTGTTTTAAAGGGTGTACGATTACTTTTTACACGGACTGTATACAGGGCGAGTCTCGTAACGTGACGACAATCTCAAATAACTCGTAAAATATTTGTTCTACGAAAAAATATTTCAGACAGAAGTTGCATGGTTTTCAGTGGTACATATAGTATTGTAATCAGTTTCATGTTATTATGCTCTTTAATCAAGATACGAAGGTCACCTTCAACTTTTTAAACGGAACAGTCAATATTTCTTCCCGGATTCGGATAAAGCGTTGAATTCTACGTAAAAAAGTATTACACCAAATAGGGCCTGAGATACATACTTACTGAAACATTGGCAAAATAAGTTTCATTTTAAGGGATGCTCGAACTGCTGCCCGTTACGATCAATAAAATTACGCGATTTTATAATTCGAGAAGGAGAAACATAATCAAGAGTTTCTGCATTTAGAACAATGCTTTCAAATACCGATCAACCCCACATAAACAAAGTTGTCCGACTACGTTGCGTTAACGATCACGTTGATTAACAATCTTCCCTAATAAACGTAATTTACCTTCGCCAATATCTCCTTAACTATGCATCTTAGACTCCACTTGGTGTAGTAGTTTTTTACGTAGAATTCGGCGCTTTATCCGAATCCGAAAAGAAATATTAGCTGTTCCATTAAAAAGATTGAAGGTGACCTTCGTATTTTGATAAAAAAGCAAAATAAGATAAAACTGATTACAATAGTATATGTACCACTGGAAACTATGCAACTTTTATCTGAAATATTTTTTCGTACAACATATATCTTACGACTTATTATGTGTATCTTTATCCGAATCTGGGAAGAAATATTAGCTGTTCTATTGAAAAAATTGAAGGTGACCTTCGTATCTTGATAAAAAAGCAAAATAAGATAAAACTGATTACAATACTATATATGTACCACTGGAAAGTATGCAACTTTTATCTGAAACATTTTCTCGTAAAACATACAGGGTGTCCCAAAAATGTCTCACAATCCGAAAGTAGGGGATTTCTGAAGTCATTTGAAGCAACTTTTTCCTTAGAGAAAATGCAATCCGCGGGACCGTTTACGAGTTATTGACGAGAAACAGTGACCAATCAGAGGCGCGAGACGGCCGAGCGGAACTGGGCTCCGTGCACTCGTTGGCTGGTCGGCTGGGCCGCCG